AAGGAATGACAGTAAAAAGAAAAGGCTTTTTACGTTAGATACGCGTTGTCTCCCAGTTGTGCAATCCATGTCACCCACTTGTATATTTCATCACCTAACAACCTGTAATTCAAGTGATGAAAGTGAACAATAGAAGGGGGAAAGGAAAAAAAAAAATCAGAGAAAATTTTAAAGAGTGGAGAGTAGTATTTTAAGAAAAGCCATTTGAGGAAGTAGTGCTTACATACCGGCAAAAAGGAAAGACGAAGTGGGTGCAGTGGCTATTGGGCATGCCAACATCGTTAATTCCTCTGTATCAAACTGATAAACGTCAACCCAACTTCGATTTCGGTGGCTGAGTACATGAGAGTGAGAGAGAGAGAGAGAGAACTTAGCCATTCAAAAAGCACCCAAATGGTTGTTACTCCATAATTTTTCTGAAATCTTCTTGTTACTCCATAATGGCACATTAGGAACTACAAATTAAAAACTAAACTGATATTCGAACTGAACATCCTGTGTCATCGCCTAGATGTTAACAAAGAAAATTTTGGAAGAAGAAATGATAAAGTTCACAAATTACAATTTAACAATAAACTTAATGATAAAAACTTAAATTCCACAATTTAGGAAAGAGGGCAAAACTACCAGTTATGCCAAATCCACTTGGGAAAAAATAATAGTTCAAATATGATTCTGTGTTTATTTAAAATTCCAAAAAATGTAATTAGCATAATTACGCTTGTATCAAAAGCGTGATCTAATCAAAACCCACAAATGAAACCAAATAAGTAGTAGAAAATGCTAGAAAAGTTATGATGAAATTCAATCAATAGTGACAAGTACTCCAAAACCAAATTTCAGTCATGACCACAACATCTCACACCTTCAATTCAACTTAAAAAAATATTGAATTCCACACAAATTGAATTCAAAACCAAACCAGTATAAAAATTAAAAATTAAAAAGCAAATTGAGATTTAGTTGAGAGAGGGAGGAAGTGAATCAACAACTATTAACAACTCTATTGAAACTCTATTCAAAATCACTTAATAACAAAGGTTACATGCAAAAACAAAATTAAATGTCCCAAATGACCAATACTCAACAAAACAGTCCCATCCACAAAACTTTTTAGTTCAAACTTCCCAATTTCATTTTATTATTCAAGTAAAAATGATAAAATTTACAATGAAATCATGAAAATGTCCTATTTATACCCAAAAGATAGTATATATTCATTTTACTATTACCCAATACTATTAATTTAACTAAATTGAATCAATCTGACAAAGATATGAGCTATTGCACTATGTTTTTCTACGCATTTTGTTAGTTTCTTTTGATCAAGAATCAAACCATCTATTTCAAGCAATCAATCAAAACCACACACATATGCAGATGCCAAACTAATAATATAAAATTTAAGCTAAAGATGCACTGTTTTATGTCAATATCAATAACCTACCAATCAATAATACCAAGAACAAATAGAGATTAGATTCCACAATGAACATAGTTAAATCATTACACTATGAAAAAAAATAGAATTTGGAAATCAAATTGAAAGCAGGCTAACAAATACCAGGCCAATCATTAACACAAATAAGTCATGAATTTGAAATCTTAGTAAATAAAAATTCCAACTCAACTTCTATAAGTATAAAACAAATTAAGTCATGAATTTACCTTTTATATCTATAACTCATGCCTCAACTTGAAATTGCTTCCATTGGTAAAATGACTTTTGTTAATGAGATTAATCAAAAATTGAACTGGATGATATTACAAATCTAAATAATTAAGTTATGAAATTCAAAACCAATTAATTGGAAAAAAAATTTCAAATATTAATCATTAACACAACTTCCATAAGTAAATAAAAACTTGAAATTAAGTCATGAATTTGAATAAAAACTTGAAATTAATCATTTATCATGAATTTGAAATTTTAGTAAATAAAAATTCCAACTCAACTTCTATAAGTATAAAACAAATTAAGTCATGAATTTACCTTTTATATCTATAACTCATGCCTCAACTTGAAATTGCTTCCATTGGTAAAGTTTCGAATTCCATGGAAATTGAATAGATTTGTACCAATTAAAAAAACCAAAATTGTATTTAGATATAACTAAGGTAGGGGGTGGGAGTGAGTGGGAATCATTCCATTATGAATCTTCAGCCTAAAACAAAATCCAAACACACGTGGGCTCAATTGGTGGTGTATGATGAGATTACAAATGTACATTAAATATTGGGGGGAAAAAATAAAGGTGAGAAAGGTTCAAATGAAAACCTCTCTGTACAATAATGCAATAACAACATACTAAAAACCCTAAAATCCCGTACTAATATGCCAATAAAAGCACGAAATAACAACCCATTCACATGAAAAATATATCTAAAAATCTAAGTTTGGTGCTCACCACGAAAAAGTTATTGAACCCATTAAATATAAATCTTGAGAGAGAGAGAGAGAATCACCACAAATCAACTATGTAGAGCATGTGTTGGTCTTCAAAATCAAAGAATCATGGAAGTCAAAAATTATTGAAATCAACTTCCAAACTGCCCATAATAGCTATCGACATTGGTGGATAAAAGAAAATAATTAATTATCCAGAAAAATGAAAACCAATATAATGGCTCATAACTCTATATAAGCAAAGGAAACCAGACAAAAGCCAATGGATTTTAAGTGAAAACAAAGCAATGCCACAACAAATTATAAAACAGAAACCCCAATGGATAAAAATTAGACTTTCATTTGGGTTTAAAGTTCTATGTATGGTGGCGAGGATCATCACTTATATTTGAATAAACTTGCATATACTCAAATCATTAGAATGTTATTATTGCAACCAAAAATTGGAAGTTATACCTTACCTTTTGAAGAATTTATGGATAGGCACAGAAAGATATTTGAATTGTTTTCTAAGGGATGACCAACAAAAGGAAACGTTAAAATGCTTTAGTAAGAATGCAAATCAGATACTTACCACAATGTTCAGATACGAAAGGTTGTTAAAAGTTTCACTTCTTCCTCAAGCTCTCTAATGTGAACCTATTAAGCAAATTTAAAGAAATGATTCAGATATATAGGACCACAAACACAATGTTTCATATACAAATTACCATAAATGTAAATAAAGCAATTAATCTGGAAGTGATTTTCAACTTTGAAGCACTCTTACTGCAACTAAAACATTCTTAGATATATACCAAAAAATAACAAAAAATATACATCATCATTCAAAAGAATCACTATAAACAAAATATATCTTTTAGAGATGAAGGAGCACCAAATCCAAAATCTGGGAGAGCACTTCTCAAAATAATAATAATAATAATAAAAAGTATAAGAACATTATCCCAAAACAAAACCACTGCTCACATCTGTTGTGCACCACAATTCATCATCATTCTGCAAATCACCACTAAATAATGTTCTAGATAAAGCTTAAGTAAATACAAAAGTATTCAATAAATACCAAAAATAAAAAATAAGTTAACAGTCAGGTTAACCTTAATGTTCACATTAACCCATTTAATGTTAACAATCCTCAACCCATTTGACTAACATGAAATAAAAATGGGTATTAACATGAAACCAATTTCTTCCTTTAACCCCCATTTGATTTGACAGAGAGTGAGAGCTTTGTTGGTGATGGTGGGGATGATGGGATGACAAAAAACAGAGTATCCAAATTTGTAGGGAAAAGATAAGTTTATTACTGATTCTATTCACAGATAAATTCAACACTGACAATTGGAAAAGAAATCTTAAATCACAATAAGGAAAAGGAAAAGAAATTTGTACAAAACAATTAATTCGTCCAATTGACTTGTAACATTAAATAATAATTAAATCATACTTGAAAAATTATTGAATATTTTTCGAATGCCATAAAAGTATATACAAATGGTACTTCTGATCAATGAGATTGCAAAAATAAAAAATGAATGAAAATGACTTTATCTCTATCAATGAAAATGGTACTTTTGACAATTTTTTTTATTGTACAAAAAGCTCAAGTTCTGGTTTGATCAGTTTTTGTATAATTTATTTTTTTAATTCTAACCCATAATTTATTTGTTTAAGGTTTCAATCTTGTTCTTTGAATTTTTTATTTATTTTTTAACGCATTCTCTTGGCTAAATATTGATTTCTCATATATTAGGGGAAATTAATAATGTCCACTCTTAAAATGATGCAAATCATATTAATAAAGTTCGTTTATTTGTCAAAAAAAAAAAGAAAAAAAAGATGCACATCATAAGATAGTTATGAATTTTTATGATGAAAATTACCAATGTGTGTGGTGTGTTAAAGTCAATTTGTGTGTGTGTAAATTTTATTGAAACATTTTATCAAACACTTAATAAGCAAGGAAGATAGAATGGTTATCAAACATTTTTGTAACAACCAAACAATAGTAATGGCACAACAACCATTCAATAAAATAACTCAATACAATAGTCCCACTAATTCCTACTAAATCAAAGTAAATGGGTTTCGTGGAACCCAACCAACTCTTTATATATATGTGTGTATATATATAGACATAGATAATATATATGAATAAGAAAAATCAACAAAACCCATAAAAGTATACCCAAAATCCTACATGCATCTAGAAAATTAAAGAAAAACAATACTCACAGTTTGATTTTGGGAATCGTTCTTTCTCTATTACACTAATGATCAATTGATGGTCTCTATGGCTTCAAAGAAAAAAAACAAAAAAAATTTGTAATCAATATATATATACACAATAATCTATTAAGAAAGAGATGAGAGTATTACCTTTACTTTGCAGAACAGAGCATCCAATAAACCCAACAAACCCATAATTTATTTGTTTAAGGTTTCAATCTTGTTCTTTGAATATATATATTTTTAATGCATTCTCTTGGCTAAATATTGATTTATCATGTATTGATTTCTAATATATTAGGGGAAATTAATAATGTCCACTCTTAAAAGGATGCACATCATATTAATAAAGTTTGTTTATTTGTCAAAAAAAAAGATGCACATCATAAGACAGTTATCAATTTTTATGATGAAAATTACCAATGTGTGTGGTGTGTTAAAGTCAATTTGTGTGTGATGAGTTATTAGTAAATTTGTAATGAAAACTCTCTCAACAACACTCACTCTGTGAGGTACCACAAATAGTCTGAGGCATCTCTGGTCACGTTTATTTGCTCCCATAGTCCATCCATTGCAACTGTGTCTGAATCATCGGCAGAGACAGTTTCTTCGATGTATGACTCCCAGAATGCTCCACTAATTACAGGTACCATCTTTATCTATGAACTTTGGGAGCTTATCTGTAAAAAAATTTGATTGGATGTTAAAACCCATTTTTGGGAACTTTTTGAAAGAGATGTTCATTGAACAAAAGCTAAACCTTAATTTTCTCAAAATTAAATCAAACTTGACACACTGAACAAAAGTGAGTTCTGGGGAGGGCAAGATGCATGCAGTTTTACTCCTATTTTCTAGTACTTTTTATATTTACAAAATTATGACATAATGAAAGCTTTCTATAAATGAAATTAAAAGGGTGATGCTACGCATACAAAAAAAAAAAAAAATTCCTACAGAATGAATGATGTGTCTCATTTATATCAATTCATTGGAAATCAAAATGCTTGTCACTTTGGTTCATAATTGCAAAAATGTCATTGCCACATCATTCTTATCTTAAATCTCGCATGAAAATAATGTATGCATATCATTTTCAAAATTAAAAGTATCCAAAGCATCATTCCAAATTATAATGTTAAATATATGACTTGAGAAGACATCAAATAGCACCAAAAAAAACTGAATAGACTTCAAATAAATGTGAAAAAGACAAAAAAAAAATTGAAACAATTAGAGGACACTATTATTTTTCTTTCCTTCTTCTTCTTCTTGATTTTTTTTTTCAAAGAATGTTTTTTAAAGGGAAAACCCTATTTCCTTACCCTTGCGGTGTTGAAAACCGCATTCTTGCAACCGAGGAGAATGCTGACGGACCAAGGAGGGAGGTCATATTGCATATTTTGGAAGGTCACTATTACTGAAGATTTTGTGTCATAGTTTGCAAGGAATGCAGCACAACCAGACTTTGAGTTAAATACATGAACCTGGAAAATGAAAAATAATGAGAAAAGGAGCTAATATCGATGATTGTCAAAAAGATGCACATGAAGAAAATTGTAGTAGACATGCATAGCTTTCTTGTAGCCTCAGAAGAGTTAATCAAACCTGGAGATTATTGCCTGGCCAAGTCACTGTAGGATATGTAGAAACTAAAGCCGGTTCACATAGCTTGATGGATTTATGCAAATCTCTCAAATGTCCCCATTTTGGTTCCCTTTGTAATCCTTGCATATGATAAATTACCCATCAAAAAATGCCGAAAATATCATTATTTGCATCAGAAAAGCCCTACCATATAACATACATACAGGCAGAATATCATGGGCAGAGCTAGCAAATGGCAACTGGCAAGTGTGCAAATTTCTCAAATGCCCCAACTGAACTTTTAAAAAATTCTATTTTGACATATATTTGTGAAAAAAGTTTCCAATTTTACACTTTCAGATTTTATTTTTGCCCATGAATCTTACATTGTCCACTTTGCTTCAATGAAGTCCTTACAATTGCTTGTATGTTATTTTGCTAAGTAAGAACTTTTTCTTGAGATTATTTTTTCTTTTTTATCCTTCCCTCATTTCTCTTTTACTTCTTTGTTTTTCTCTCTATTTCCTCTCTTGTTCCCCAAAAATGAGATGCTCTTGCAAAGGTGAACCATTCTTTTCATCCCATCGATGTTCAATCTCTTTCACTCTCTTGCCTGTTTAGTTTAAAAATTATATTTGGAGATTGAACGATTGAATAATGCTTCTATGTGATTGGTGTTTATGTGATATTGAATTGTGTATTGTTTTTTTATTATCACTTCAAATTGTTTACTTCTTTTGATTGTCAATTATGAAAAAGATCATTTATAGTCCACAAAACAAAAATCTTTATTTTGCTCCCAGGTAGAATAATTGTGCTAATGATCTCATGTGTTACATTGTACGGTCCCATTCCTTCCATGCAATGTGTGTTTGCACAAATAGACTACTTGTATGCATTGGCAACAATCTTAAATTTTAATTGCTTAAGTAAAGATTGTAATACAAACAAAAACCTCAGCATAATATAATCAAGTTATTTTCATGTGTATGCATACCATATTCGTCAATTGGAGCATCATAATCATAGCTAGTGGCAATGAAGAGACCAGCAGCAGTCCGTCCAAAATTTGTTCCTCCATGGTACTAATGAAAGAAAAAAAAATAAGAAATATAAAAAATATACTTTACTTGATATAAGATAAACATACAATTAAGAATTAACTCACCATATAATAATTAATAAAGGAACCATTATTCTGTATAAACCTTGCCACTGAAAATGCCAAGTCTTCAACAGGTCTCTGAGGAATTGGACCACCAAACTTTGTATACCTGAGGATAAAACAGAGGAATCCAAAGACTGAATTAAGAAATTCAGAAAAATGTAAATGAATTCCGTTGTTTGAATGATGAAACAATTTATAATTAAAACAACAAAGAAATAGGAAAATGTAACTGAGTTCCGTTGTTTGAATGATGAAACAATTTATAATTAAAACAACAAAGAAATAGGGGGGGGGGAAATGTAACGCCCTCAAAATAATAACATTAAACCCAACAAATAAGACATGCATTAATATTTCAAAGTTCCACATTCTTTCATTTATCAGAGTTTCATTACAAAAAGTATTACATGTTAACAACAAAAGCAAATGCCCTACAGGCTTACAGCTTTCCAAGTTAACACTTGGTTACAACAAAAGAGTACTAACTCATACACATTAAGCCCTTGGCTTGTATTTACATGTAATACATCAAAAAGTAAAACGACAACATTATGTCCGCCTCTAGCCTCCCAAGCTATGTCCTTGGAGGTGGCATGCTTCCTGCACCTGAAAATGATATTCCCATATAGGGTGAGCCACAGCCCAGTAGAAATGAACCCTTAGACTTCTTAGAAGACCTCGAATCACCCTGAGAGTCTGAATACATTGACCTTTTTAACTTCTACCTTGCTTTCTCTGCCTCAACCATAATATTTACATGAGTTACGGCCTCCACAAGCCGATCGTAATATCTAATCATGTTGCCCACTACCTTTATCAAAATTTTCAGTCTTAACCTCTTCTCGAATTTCATGCATCTGCACTCTTCGGGCGCCACAAGCTAGGGTGCAAAGCAAGATAGACTGGTAAAAGTGGCTTCAAACTTAGCCATCGGTATGTCAAGCTGCAATAGATCTTCAAACTACCTCCTCAACCATTCCTTAGCAGTGGGAGAGAGAAACTTCTCCTGGAAGGTGTGTATGAATGCCTCCCAAGTGTGACCAATGCAGTTTTTGGCATACTTCCTATAACAACCCTACTCTGTGTAATGCTAATTAATCTTAATTATGCTTATAATTATGTGCTTGATATGATTTTGAATGTTAAGTATATGATGACATGTGAATTTGAAGTTATATTTGTTCACCGTAGAAAAACATCTGTGTTATTTCCTGTTATAAAATGAAATTGAGGGCCGTAGAGGTGTCAGAAACCAAAATTGATTGTACCATTGCGATTAGCATAATTTTTAGAGCCTTTGGTGAAATTTAATTAAAAATTTATTCAGATCGAATTAATTAGATTAAATTGATTAAATTAAGCACAATTAATTAATTCTAATTAAGTTTGATTACGGAAGCATATATATAGAAGATAAATGTGCTTAAGCTCATTTTCATGAGCTCAAAAATCTGAAAATATACACTCCAAAGAGAGTGAGCCAATTCTAGAGAGAGGAAGAGAGCATCCTTGAAGATTTTGCAAGAGAATTCAAGAATTGGGAGAATTAACTCAAGAACTAGCTAGAATTTGGAAGATTGAAGCTTCTAGGTGAGTAATTGAACTCAAATTCATGGGCTTAAATTCAAAACTTAGTGAATTCAAAGATGACATGAAGTTAAGAACAAGATTTGAGTTGAAAATGATGAAAATGAGATCAATATGTGCATGCATATGACAAATTGCTATGAATCTTCATATTTGAGTATAAAGCATGCTAAACAAGTTGAATTGGAAGTCATTTAAGGCATGAATCCATGAATAATGAGGTTATGAGGCTTAATTACATGTTTTGAAGATGATAGAACAAGAATTCATGTAAGATCATACACGTATGAGAGTTTTGAATATCATTTTGACAAATTCATGAAGAATATGGCACCAAATGCATAATTTTGAGAAATCTCATGAGTTTCAGCGTTGCTAGTATCATTTGAAGTGAGGAACGAATCTATATTCCACATGTATGCTCAATTCATGTAGATATAGAACTTGAATGCTTAAGTCATTAAGTTACGAACATGAAATTGAAATGATTTGAGCTTGTGTGAAGAATTCTTGAAGAATTGAACTTCAATTCTTGTAAAATTAATTTTATTTTCATGTTAGAAGTTATTTGGCCAAGATATAGGACTTATCATGCAAGAAATACAAGTCGGAATCATGTTTAGAAGTTCAAACACAGTTCTGGAAATTCCAAAATTCGACCTTCCCGCTCGAGTGAAGAAAGTCTCACTCGAGCGTAAAAATTTAGCTCCCAGAAGTTTTATAGAGAATTGCATGGTAGCTCGAACGACAAACTTTACGCTCGAGCGGACCATGTTTTGCAAGGCTCATCGCTTGAGCGAAGAATGTCTCGCTCGAGCGTAAAATTCATGCAACCAGTACTTTTTAAAAGTTTTACTAACCACTCAAGCGACCAAAACTGCGCTTGAGCGCAGTGCCCTGTTTCAGAAAATTTTGAAAAGCTGTTTTATGTTCCAATTTATGTTCACTTCCATTTCTGAGTATTCGTAGGCTCACATTGTCATGACCCGAACCCGTCCCTATGGGTTAAGGCCATAACCGGCCAGTAATCCTGAGATTGCCTACAACCTCAAACCAAAACAGACGTACTCATCAGAGTAAAGGGGCCAAACGGAAGTAGAATTTAAAAACTTTGTCCATAGAGCCGTTCTTATATGCACTTTAAAACAAACCATGCACATATACGTTAATAACCCACATCAAAAGTATAGTACCATAAAATTCTTTACAGACAGGATCATCTAAACTAAGTCAACCTATAATGAACTATGTACAGATATACACAAAGTCCTCACCAACATGACAAAATATAAATACATAACAAAAGTGGCGAAGACTGGTCTCGTGCGTGAAACACAAGGGCTGACTCTCCAAAAACCTTTGTTGTTCCTCACGTACTTCACTGGGGCTGGGTTTGGACTTCTCTCGGCTCACCTACAAACACACGAATGAGCGTGAATGATAGCCTAGTGAATAATATCAAATTCAGAAGTTACATAAGAATATGTAGAACAACATGCTCCGAAGGGCCTTGGGCCCAATTCATAGTTCTACTTAGCATATATACGCTTATACAAAATTTAGATCAAGTGACTGTAGTTCCAAACATACTGGCCTTTGGCCCATTCAGATTTCCATTCTTGTCAAAACGGCCTTCGGCCCATTCATTAAGGTCAAAATGGCCTTCGGCCCATTCATTTCTGTCAAAATGGCCTTCGGCCCATTCATTTACGTCAAACGGCCTTCGGCCCATACATTCATGTCAAAACGGCCTTCGGCCCCATACATTCGTGTCAAAATGGCCTTCGGCCCACTCATTCATGTCAAAACGACTTTAGGTCCATTCATATATGTCAAAACGACCTTCAGTCTGTTCATTTACGTCAAAACGACCTTTGGTCCATTTATTTATATCAAAATGACCTTCGGTCCATTCATTTCTATCAAAACAACCTTCGGTCCATTCATTTCTATCATGTCAGACTTATGTCCACAATCCCAATTAGCAACTCTTAGAGCTCATAAGGGAATAAACAATTGGACAATGATAAGCTCTCAAATATCGGTATTACTCACAGTGATCGACTTGTGGATTTGCCCTGGAGCTCGATGCTACTGCAGACACCCCATTTTTGACCGTCCTCAAGACTTGGACGTCACCGTTTGAACACCCGGTGATCATCCATGTTTGTGTTCGTTTGGAGTTCCCGGAGGTTTCGGCTATGCGCCTTGCCTCAGGATCTCCGAACTCGACTGTTTAGTGTCTGGTTTTGCACCAAACACTTGTGTTTTGCCTTGGAGGGGCAAGGAATGCCTTGTGAGGCATCCCCACACATCACCGGCCATGGCCAGAGGCCACCGGCTGGTGTTTTGCTGCCATCGGCAATCTATATTGCCAGTCAGCATTCTTTTCTGCTGGTCGGCACTCAATTTTGTCAAAATGGCATTTTTGAGCAGCTGACTACTGTTCATCTACTTTTGCAGATATTTTAATACAGCTGTATGTCATTTTGTTCCCCTCCATACACGTGTATGGAGGGATGGCTTCCTTGTTAGCTTACCTTGTAAGCTTTACATGATTGGCTCCTCTATAAGAGGAGCCCTCCTCTCTTGGCTCTAGGTTAGACATTTTGGAGGGAAAATTTATGTGAGAGCTCTGGTTCTAGGTTTAGGGTTTGATACATATTCTATCTCTATACCTCTCTCTCATTTGGCCTTTGTGTGTGTTTAAGTGTGTTTGTGTCTTACTATTGCACACAAACACATAGTGTTACACCTTTCCTTGGTTTCTTGAAGGACCAGAGGTTGTTCCTGAGGTTCTTGGGCTGTTTTGAGCTCAAAGAAGCTGCTGGAGCTTCATCTTTGAAGAAAGTCAACAAGGGTAAGAAACTAGTCCCTTTATTCCCTATTTTTGCATTGTATTTTTACCTATCTAGCAACTATTTTTTGGCTTTGCATATAATATAAAAAAATTTCTGTTTTTAGGTCATCTAAATAGTTTGTTTAGAGTGTTTTGTGGTTTGGAGGTGTTTGACCCCTCTTAGGCCTTGAGAGGCCCCATTTTGTGCTATTTTGAGTGAGCTCCGAGACCTTGGTGTTTGGGCCTCCTCACCACTGAAATCTTGAGGGATTTCAGAGGTGAGGATGGTGCCTTGAGGTCCCAAGAAGGAGAGGGCCACCCCCTCTCCTTGTTGTCCTTGAAATGGACCATTTTTGGCTTCTTGAGGGAGCACCTAGCTAAGCTTCTTGTTAACCATGCCTTGGCTGTTTTTTGTGCTTATTATGTCATAATATGCCTCTGTTTTTAGTTGGTTTTGGTACATCATGCTTGCTTAGCATACATGCCTTGTAATGCCATTTTGTTGCCTTAACACGCCTTAGGTTGTTTTTCTAGTAGTACTAAATATATTTTTGATCCCCTATCAAAGAAAAAAGAAAAATATTTGTCATAGTGTCAATCCTTTGTTTGCTAACTTGTTACTTTAGTGTTGCGACTGTTGTGATGGAAATATCACCCACTGTCCAATTTCTAAAATTTAATTTTTTTAGCCACTGTCTGGCCCTAAACCATGGAAAGACACTGGT